TTTTCAGTTTGTTCAGCCTTTGACTTGTGGTTGGGATAGAGTGGCGACTTCCAAGCTTGCATGCTGAACTAGCCTGTGGCTGTTTTTAAAGCATATGAATTTTCATGACTGTGTGTTATTCTACCATGGAGGTGGACCGTAATTTATTTAATCAATCTCCTATTTTAGGACACTTAGCTTCTTTCCAATTTTTCACAATTATAACCAATGTTATGTTTGGGCGTTCTTATTAAATAAATCTCTGTACATTTTCAATTATTTCATGAGAAAACTCTCTAGAAGAGTAATTAATCAAAGGGCATGCACATTTTAGAGAAATTGATAAGTATTGCTTAATCATTATCTGGAAAGTTCTGACCCATTTTCACTCCCAGCAGCAATGCGTGCGGATGTCTCTTCCCTGAGCCGTCTCCAATAATGGAAACAGTATGTTTTATTTTTGTTAGTATGATAAGTGAAAATCGTTTCTTCTTGTTTTAATATATATCTCTTTGGTTATTACCATAACTCAATATTGTCTTAAATGTTCATTAACCATTTGTATTTCTTTATTTGCATGCTGTTGGTTTATGAATTTTGCCAAAAATTTTCTATTTGGGGCTGGCCCAGTGGCATAGTGGTTAAGTTCACGTGCTCCACTCTGATGGCCCGGGGTTCATTGTTCAGATCCTGGGTGCAGACCTACACATTACTCATTGAGCTGTGCTACGGTGGTGTCTCTTATATAAAATAGAGGAAGATTGGCCCAGATGTTAGCTCAGGGCCAATCTTCCTCACTAAAGAAAAAAAATTTTCCATTTGGATATTTATTCATTTTTCTAGAGATATCTAAACACTCTTTATATCATTACTTCTACCAGTCATCATTAATAATATATTAGTACAAATAATTTCCACCCAATTTGTGACTTGTCATATTTACAGTGGTTCTATTTATTTATTTTTGACTTTTGGAAATTTAGTTCCTCTGATTTCGTCCTTAGGATTGGTACCTGGGAATGACTTCCCTGGCTGTGTCGGGTCGCTATGGACTTATGTTTTCCTTTAGTTGTCTTGTGATTTTGTTTCCAGATTTAATTCTTTGATTCATCTGAAATATAATTTAGTCTATAGCATAAGACAGATACTTAACTTCTTTTTCTGAAAAGTTTAACAGTTGTCTGACCACTATTTTTTTGGTTGTTAATGCACTTTTTCTCTACAAATTTAAAATTCTACTGTTATACCATGCTAAATTCTTTAAATATTTAACACATTTCTGGGCATTATTTTGTTTACATTGAGTTGTTTGCTCACACTTATGCCAGTCCAGCTTTTAAAATTATCATAGCTTTATATTTTCATACGTAATAGGGACATTCCTTCATCATGTATATGTATTTTTTGGCTACTCCATTATCTTTATTTGTTCTTTAATTCTTGAAAAGGCAGTACAGGCACTTAGTAAAAATTGAATACAACTGTAGTGTTTTTATTTTCTATTTTATTTTATTTTTGAGGAAGATCAACCCTGAGCTAACATCTGCTGCCAATCCTTCTCTTTTTGCTGAGGCAGACTGGCCCTGAGCTAACATCTGTGCCCATCTTCCTCTACTTTATATGTGAGACGCCTGCCACAGCATGGCTTGATAAGCGGCATGTATGTCTGCACCTGGGATCTGAACTGGTGAACCCCGGGCCGCCCAAGCAAAGCACACAAATTTAACTGCTACACCACCACCGAGCCGGCCCCCAACTGTAATGTTTTTAAAATGCTCAATTTGCTGAATATGGATTCAGATTTGCAATGTGCAACATGTACGACAAATTGGATTCATCTGGGGCTTGCTGAAGGACCTCACATTGTCCAGCCTGGCCCCTCAAACCTCAGGAGCTGTGTCTTGCTTCCCCAGGGCTTGTCTGTGTCTGGCTTCTGAGTTTGGACTTCTGAGGCTCCACCTTGAGTCCTCTGGCTTTAGAGCGAACACACTCTTAGGCTCTTAGCATGGGGCTGCTGCTGGGGGCGGGGTCTCACCCTCCTAACTCCCCCTTTCCCTAGCTCCTCCCTGAGACCTCACCTGATAACGCAGGTGGAGTTCTCTGAGGCCCCTGGCTGCCCAGAAAGTTCAAATGGCTCAAAAGTATCTTCCTAGATCCAGCCGTTTATGATCTTAGGTCCATGAAATTCTTAAGAAATGCTTCGCTGCGCTGGGGGCACGATGGAAGAGGTGGATCTTGGACAATTCAGGCACTGGGTGGGCAGGGGTAAGGTAGGGAGCATTTCAGAGAGAGTGACTGGGGAGCTCTGAGGTCTCCAGGAAAATGGCATTCCTTTTTTTTTTTTTAAAGATTTTATTTTTTTCCTTTTTCTCCCCAAAGCCCCCTGGTACATAGTTGTATATTCTTCTTTGTGGGTCCTTCTAGTTGTGGAATGTGGGATGCTGCCTCAGCATGGTTTGATGAGCAGTGCCATGTCTGTGCCCAGGATTCGAACCAACAAAACACTGGGCTGCCTGCAGTGGAGTGCGCGAACTTAACCTCTCAGCCACGGGGCCAGCCCAGAAAATGGCATCCCTTTATTTAACAAATGTTTGTTGGTCACCCACTATCTGCTAGTTACTATGCCTCAGACTGGGAATATGCAAACAAGACAGACTTTAGTCCTTGGGAGAAACTGACAACACACAAATGAACACAACAACAACAGGTGGTGATCAGGGCTCTGGGGGAAATAACAGGGTGCTGTACATCGGGGCCAGGGAGCACCTTTTGGAGGAGGCAAACTCAAGGCTGAGATGCTGGAGATGCTTCAGCCCAGCACGTTGACAAACTCCCACCAGAGGAAACAGTGTGATGTCCTTTAGGAACTGTTGGAGCGCAGTGTAGCTAGAGCTGGATGCACGAGGAGATGATGAGGCCAGGGAAGCAGGCAGGGGACAGACCAGGCAGATCTGGCGAGGAGGCTGGATTTTATTTTAAGTGAGATGGTGTATGATAGGTGCCCTGCCCAAGTCCCTGGGCATCAGTCATTCCCTGCGTGTCATTCACGTCTACTTCCAGCTCTGAGCCCCCGTGACTCTGTGCTTTGGGGTATTCTCTGGCCACTGAAGCCTACCTCTCCCACCCTTTCGGGCAGGTTGGAAATGCTGGGGAGTTGAAGTCCCCACACCCTACCCTGCAGCAGCGCTCCACTAATAACTGAGCGGAGGTGGTGTATAAATACCCCAGCTCCCTACTCAGCAGGCAAAATAACTGAGGCATGTTCTGCCCTGTCTCTCAGAGTTCCCAGAAGGATTGGGCCCCATTGCCCATGACGGTCATTGTTCTTAAAGCCCTTTTATTGACATCTTTCTCTCTCTCATTTCCCTTCCCCATGCACCCATGGGAGGTGTTTGTTGGATTCACCTCCCATATAAATGATTTGTCCTCTCATTTCATCTCAAGGCCTGTTTCCATAGGAAGTCTTGGGTATTGGAGGATCTTGAGCAGGAGTTGGCAAACTATGGCCCCTGGGCCAAATCTAGCCTGTTGCCTGTTTTTCTAAATAAAGTTTTATTGGCACACAGCCACACCCATTTTTTTCAGTATTGTCTACATTTGCTTTTGCACCAAAATGGTAGAGTTGAGTTGTGGATCAGAGAACAACTGGCCCACAAAGCTGAACATGCTATCTGACCCTTCATGGAAAACGTGTGCTGACCTTTGGTCTTGAGGAACAAAATGATATGATGTGATTTACTTTATTAAAAGATCACCCCAGCTGCTGTGTGGAGAATGGATTTGGGGTTGGAGGGCTTAAGGACCAGTTCAAAGGCCACCACAGAAGTCTAGGAGAGACACAGAGTGAACAGATCTCAGTTGTGTTCTGAAGTAAAAGACAACAGGACTAGCTGATGGATGGGATTGGAGGAAGGGAGTAGTAAAGGGATGTGTTGTATACTTTTGGTCCTTCTAACGCCCCTTTGAGAAATTAACTTTATCTTCAACATCACTTCCTTCAGGAATCCTTCCGTAACTTCTCAGGTTGGTTGGGGCCACCTCTGTGCCCTTCAGTCTCAATACTCACCATCTCACAATGTTCTATTCTTTCTTTAATCTCGTTTTAGAGTACAGAGATAACACATGACAGAGCCCAGGTTTTAACACAATTTGACTCTAGACTGTGTTCTCATTACCATCATCACAGGGATTTTTCAGTGTAACCCTCAGATCTAGAATATAGTGGGTGCTTAATAAATAGTCACTCAGTGAATGAAGGTCAAGAACCCTTTGGTTTGGTCCAAACTGCCTATCTCAACGCTCAGCCTTCGCTGCCTCCTCATTTCCTCATCTGTCTTGCTTTCTGTAGCCCGGCTTCTCATATTTTATGGCCCGGACATGGGGCCATGGCAATGACATGGAGCTAACAGGTGATACCCCAGCCATCATCGTTTAACCAGTACAGGTCTCATGCAACCATGGAAGCCACAAGCTGGCTGTGCGCAGACAAGAAATCATTTCTGCTGGGGCATCAGCATCTGTTTGGGCAGCTGTGGGTGAAACATGGTCCAATTCTCCCAGGACATTAACAGAAATGGAGGAGAGTCCATAGGGAAACTGGGTGTTGGGCAGGGCCATCACTCTGAGGTGGAGAAGGCCAGGCCATCTCCATCATGTCTGCCCTGTGCCTTGCATCCTTGAATTTGTGAGACAGCTCCCCACTGCCTTTGTTGAGATTCATCATAAATTACTCAGGTGCAAGTTGACCAGATTTGAGAGCATGTAAAGGCAGCCCAGAAACCAAGCAAGGGGTGCTGGCATTTGCAAAAAAAAAAAAAAAAAAAAAGGCAAAATCCAGTGGAGATGAGGGTGGATGCTGGAAGTGGGTCATTAGGTCGAAGCAACAGAGAGGCCCACCAATAATTTCCTCACTTGGCCTCCCTGGGGGTCAGCGCTGTTCCTCCACTCCCTCCGCCCCGCCTCCCTTGCCTCTCTCCTCTCTTGCCATCTCTCAAAAACACACATAGGCAGAAATCAATCCATCAAATGTCATTACAGATTTATTAAGCCTGATGTAGAAAGACATTTAACAGTAACATCTTCAGAAAGCATAAAAAGAGCACTTCCATTCAGTCTTGTGCTTTGAAAATCTAAATATATTTTTATCATATAAATAATTCTTTTCATGTTTTAAGTGCATCTGTGTGTGTTTTTTTTCTTTCTTCTTCTCTTCTTTAATTTTCATTTTTCAGTCGGCCAAAGTGGAAGTCAATGTTGACTAAAATGAAGCCATTTGCAAAGCTAATGGTGTTGGGAGGCCTGTCTCTGCTCCACTGTATCAGCCAGGTTTCAGAAAGGTGGTTCAACGTCTGCAGCATTAAATGAGGGACAGCCTCCAGCAAAATCATAATTGAACACACCCAGATCCTTAATGTCGGCAGCTGGGTTTCCTGATGCAAATTATGATAAGGTTTCAGATGGGAACAGTCTGTTTCCAATAACTGCTGAGTGGGAGAAAAAAGACCTTTTTTCGTCACAAAGAAGAGTTATCATGTTAAAAAATGTAAATAATACACTTATAGAAACCTTTTTGATGGAAATGAGGGGCTCCATATATCCTTGGCGAGTGTATTGTCATTTTTTCACAATAGCTAAAAGAAGTAGCATCTATTATTTAGGGCTTTAATTACAGTTCTCAAAGTAGAATGATTTTTCCTTAAAAAAAAGAAAACTCTTTAGATGTAAAAAATAATGGCTTCTGTGATATAATCTAAGGATTTTCTTCATCTCCACCATCAGAATTTATTTCTAGTGGTAAAATTATATTAAAAAAACCCTCTCCTTCTAGAGATAATTTCAATGTGGCAGCATCCTACACAGGCATACATCTGAAATGCACCCAAACAAAGTGATTTTTATTCAGCAAGGGGCTGATCCGAATGTTTCTTTTGACCTGATTTAAGTTATATGAGATATCAAGACCAGATTGTTGGTAATTTTGGAGGGATGACAGGATGGTGGCATCAAGGGCCAAAAGCAGGAGCACCTTTTCTGAAAATCCCTGCATTTTTTCCAAGCTGGAAAGCCGTCACTTCCAGCTGGGTGGTTCGTCTTTGGGCAGCGACGACGACGCGGCCAAGCCTTTGGACATTTGCAAATAGTGACTGCATTGAGCAGTAGCATTCGGGACGATGGGGAGTAAAAGAAAGTGTGGCCAGTCCAGGGAAGAATGTTCCAGATCCCAGAGAAGTGAGCATAGATGCCAATCTGTGATGAATCTGTTTGGCCACAGGGTGGTATAATTTTCCTAGCAGAAAACTTATTATTTTTCATTGCAAGGACAATTTATAATCATCAAAAACAAGTGAAACATGATTTTGATTAAAACAGCCTGTTGGCTCAGTAATCTCTGTAATTTTAAAAACGTCCTTAATGCAGGAGAAGAACACGCCGATGTCAGGAATGGCCTGGGGCCCCATTACAACAGCAACCGAATAAATAAGGAGAAGGATTGCGAGGTCATAAAAACAAAATTAAGCTAATGTTTCAAATTTTGACAATTATGAATTCTTCCTCTAAGAAGACATTTAAAAAAAATTTTCAGGCACTATTAGATAAAATACAAAGAGCATAATTCTACATGGATGAGTTTGCAGTTTTCCCAAGGGGTAAAGCATGCCTTTCAAGGAAAACTCTGAATTACGACTTGGTTCCTCTGTAGATCCAACAATTGGATGGGACTCATGCAGACAGACAAACTTGGTTCTTATAATTTCTTTGTAAACTCAGATCTAATTCTTTCATAAGCTATTGAAAGAGAATGATCAGGAAAAAAATTACAAGCATATTTTTTTCTGTACAAAAGAATCCCCATTGTGGGCCAGTTTGGTAGGAAACAGAAACGAGCAAATATAACAAAATCTGTGTTCATACATGGCGATATAGTTAGTATATACAAATATGTACAGTATAAAAATGTATGGAAGGCTTAGGTTCCCAGCCACCCAAGCTGCATTGTACACAAGGAAAACGGCCTGGCTTTTTCTCCTAGTATACAGGCAAATGTATTATATACAGCATGCAGGCGATAGAAAATTAGTGCGCTTGCACAGAAACATTCTACAGGTATGGTTACAGCCATTTTTCTTTGAAAATGACCAGTCTGCTCTCCTAATATAAAAATGTGTTCGCCTTTCTTCGCTGGCAAATAAACACTTTCCTGCAGAGCAAGGATGAATGTAATTCTCCTGACTCACTCCGCCCTTCCTCCCTCACTGCCTTTTCTAAAAGGACAAAAAAATCTAGAATTAACGCAAGGTGGCAAATATGTAATGTAAACATGGTTGACGCAAATTTCCTAAAAAGCTATGAGCACTCCGCAGAGTAAGAGCTGGTTGACCAGTAGAAAGACTGAGTATGATCAACTACCGTCTTGATTTTAAAGGGGGTTGGAAGTTTATAATTCACGCTGACAGTGCCTGGCTGTTAGGAACCAAAGCCAGAAGGGATTATAAGGATACCAGTACATCAGAGACCAAAAAGTATATTGTATCCCGAGATCGTATGACATTTAAGAACCCTGAGCCAAATGAGAATTGTTTCGTATGTCAGCTTTTTTTGACTTGCATTGCACATTCTAGCATCTGATGTGTGATAAGCCAAAATATTGTATCGCAAAACACTGGAATGTTTCTGTAGTATTTACCTCAATGTAGAGTGGGAAAAGTTTTTATGTCTTTTCTGCAGACCTGGTGAACCTTGTGTATTTAAAAAATATACATACATGTTAATAATTCCTGAATGTTGTGTGGGTTGTTTAGAAAGTGAAAATATTACTGTACGAAACCTTCACATTTGAGATATAATTGTAGGATTGTTCAAGTTCTGTAAATATAAGCCTTTGCTTGGGGACCGATAGCCAAATGTGGTTTCCAGGTTCAAGATAATTCAGTGAACACATTGAAATTCATTTTCTGGAGGGGTTGAAGGGAGTGGTAGATTTTTTTTTTAAGTAATGCGTTTGTTCAAATTTTTCAATTTCTCTTGGGGGTTCTCACAAAAGAGTTATTCTTTGTACTTCCAAAAGAGGTTTTAAGCAAATAAACATCGTACAAAGGGCTGTATTTAATCTGTCTTTTTCAAACAGATCGTTTTTTAAAAGGCCTTAATGATAATCATATGGCTATTGGTAAAATCATTGATGTGCTGAAAGTTGTCAGATCAGGGCGCCATTACTTGGAAGAGCCATTTTACTTGGAATATATTTTTCCAAAGGAAATGGACAGAGTTCTGTCGCAGAAATAACGTTCCACCTGGTACTAGCATTTTAAAACAGTCCTTTTCTAATCCATAAAACATTTCCAGTTTTCCCTGAAGCTTTGGGCTGCCTTGTGCATGAATAATTTTTGGAGAAACATCCACGCCCGTTAGCCCATTGTTCGTAACTATTGGAAGATGAACCAGAGCCTGGAAATTGTCTATCTGCGTGTGCCTCTGGATCTGTCACAGGAAACCAAAGGAGCTAAGTGGCTTTTACTTTGGATGAAGAGGTAAAATTCCCCTGTAGAAATTTCTAAAGATGATTCACAAGTTTCAAAATGTTCAGTGCTTCCTTACAATGGAAACATGTCTCTCTGTCTGGGGGGATGGAAATTTGTATCTCTTTCTCCTGCTCAATCTTTGTCTAAAAGTATTTCTGGATATTTTGAGAAAGTGCCACATATAGGAAGGGAGAAAATGAAATTAGCATTTTAACATCTCACAGGGGAAAAATAATAAAGCGAAAGTTTAGCTGTGATTTGTTTTTTTTTTGCCTAATGCATGTTCAAAAAAGATACTGCTTTTATTGCTCTTTAGAATTACATATATGTGTGTGTGTGTTTAAAGCCTGCGATAGATTTCCTTATTATTATTTTAGCATTCATCAACACACTTCTATTCTTGTTGCAGAGAATAGAAGATAAAGTGAAAATGACATTTTTAATGTTTTTTTTAACAAAAACATTTAACAAGCTTAGAAAAATGAAACCTGATGAAAAAGCTTTGAATACCAAATAACAGTCAAATAACCTGGGAAGTGACAGATGGAAAAGCCACGGAATGCAAGCACCTCGTCAGGCCTTGCAATCTTTGGATTTACTGTGAAAAGTTTCAGAAAATCATAGACTCTTACTTGTGGACTTTGCATAGACCCTGGAAAACAATAGTGAGATTCATATATCTATATGAATACGCACGCACACACACGCACACTCTCACACATACCTCCTCACTCCTTAACCAGAGTTACATAAATGCTTCCCAAATATGTCATTTCATTTGTTTGTTTTCTGCATTTCAACTCAGTTCAGCAGCTTGTGCCTGTGACATTAATTATGCAAGACTCCAACAATGGAGCAGGCACATTTTGGGGGTGAGTTTTAAGAAATCTATTTGTGACCTTAAAAAAATTCTGTGGGGACCGTCTAGGCTATGCAATTTATTCTATGATTATATTCTGCTTTTAGGCCTTGACATATTTTTAAGCTATTTCCTCCCTGTATGCTTTTCAGAAGGAGAATTCCCTATTCTGAAATATCATTATTTTGAAAAACAAGAATAAAACACGAGGGGAGTTAGACCCCGTGTGAGCGCCTCTCTGGGTCTCTGGTCTCAGCTACCTTGAGGTGCTGCTGTAAACCACAGGAGGACCACGATGTTGTTGAATTGTTCACTGTTGTGTCCCACAGCACCTAGAACTGTGTTGTGCACAGAGTAGGTGCCCACTAATATTGGTGGAATAAATTTGTTGAATAAATTGTGTTTCCTGTTCTGCCTTGTGTCCCCTGTGCTTTGCAACATGCTGTATATTTGGTGAATTTGCTGAACTACAAAATGGGGCCAAATACATAGCACTTAAATATTTATGTACAGTCTTTTCAATGGACATTTCAATTTGCAGCTGGTTGGTGGCCTTAGCTAGAAAGAGGGATAGAGAGGGAAAGGCGATCTCTCATCTTCACTGATACTAAGAGCTGGTGGCGGAATGGAGATACTTGAGTGTAATTTGCATGCTATTTGCATGTCATCTTCCTTTCCACATCTAAAGTTCCAGTTTATCAGAACTACGTTTATTCAGAGAGAGGAAAAGAATGGTATGAAAGCAGGTAAAAACATTTTCCTGAGTTCATGTTAGTTTTTCCATCCAGAAAGAAGTTTCTAGAAGCCTCACAGGGCTTACCAAATGAAGACAGGCCTGTTCTCTAGGAATACACTGAGAGCTGTGTGTATCTCACAATGCGAGCCCAGATCTTGTTTCCTAAGGAGAACATTGGCAGCTGTCCCTCAGCAGTGACATTTACGGTTACCAAGCGACAATTCATGAGTCTTACCAAATTTATCAATATTTTTGTCTCTTGTCTCCCACTCCACCCCTGCAAAGAAATTGCGCTAACAAAACCATATAGATTATATATTGAAGCAGAGGATTTATTTTTTCTTTCTTAGAAGGGAAACAATTTCCACGGAGTTGAGAATTGTGTCGTCTCCCCCCAGTTGAAGGAAGAGCTCAAGAATCTGCTTTTGGACGGTTGTGGCAGAATCTGAATTATGTAACTTTATCTAATAACCCTGGGTTGGAGCAGGCAATTTTTAACAGCTTCAAGAACCCCAACGCCAATGCATTGATTTTCTTTTAATAGAACTGCAATGTCGAAGGACAGTGCTCGGTAGAGTCCACTCTTCAATCTTAACCCATCGGAAGATGGTCCCTTTCCAGTCGAGCTCCATTCATTTCTGGTTGAATAGGTTAAGCAAAGACAGACCTCGCTGTTCTCAATTCACTTTATGATCCTCCCATCATAAAAAATAATATCAGCACCTTGCTTTTCATGTCAGAACTACATTTGAGCCGCTATTCCCTATGCCCATGAGTAAATCCCATAAAAGCCGCCCCGTTGTACGGTTGCTATTTTTCCTTGTGGCTGATTGATTGATGGATGAGTGCTGACACTTCAATGAAGCTATTTCGACTGCCATCTCAATCCGATGATGTGAGGGGTATATTTTCTGTCCATGCCTCATTACTTCAGAATGACATTCCTGGAACTTCATTTACTTTTTCCCTCCTTCCCCGAAGCGCCATATTTTTTCCCATCTAGGTTATGCAAGCCATAAAAAAAGCAATTTGCTATTATATGTGGCATAAGGGCAACACTTTCCCTAGGAGGTAAATAAGAAGTTTTTTTTTTTTTTTAATCCCAATGTTGAATTTAGGGATCATGTCAAAATTTCCAAAACAATTCCAACAGGCAGCCTCTACGAGAAATGGTAAAAAGGATATATTTGGATATATCTGGTTTCATTTTGTTAGTGTTGAGATTTTTTTTTGTGATAACCTTGGTAATTAAAGCAACAACAGAAAATAGTTGGTTTGTTTCAGAATCATCTAGTTCCTAGTGTTGTGCCTAGAATAGTTTAAATTTTTCACCGATAGCTGAGTAGCAGTTTACGACACAATCCAGACTTATTTGTCCTTTGAGAATAAAGAAATTCATTGTTTAAATGCAATGATGGATTTATCTATTATAGGTTGCTTTTGGTTGTATAGAAAATGCTCATCTAGAGTAAACAGATCTGCCCCTGCAATTTCCAAACTGTGCGCTAGGTATGCAAGACTTTTAATATTAAAACATGCTCTGAGCTTTTCCAAGTTGACTTAGGACCTGATTTTAATCTGTGTAATACAGTATTCCCGTTAATAATAACGTATAATTAAGACATCCGTTAAAAATCCATAACGTTAATTTAATGGAGAAAATCTAATACAGTTCTATTGGAATTTTTACGTTAAATTAACTTTAACGGGCTTTTAATGGATGTCTTAATTAGATCTCATTATTAACGGGAATATTCCACAAATTAAAATTGGGCCCTCAAAGTTTTAATGAAAAAAGTTGCAGGAACACATTTAAAATGGACACCCTGTTTCATGCTTTCTGTTGCTTCGGAAGCTGAGCAGCGTGTTAGAGCTCGTCAACAGCGGGTCCCGCACAAAGAGATTACCAGGAAAGGCTGCTGCTGAACTTTCCACGCTGCGGTGATCTCATCTTCTTGCTTTCTCTCGGATTCACCAATTTCCCCAATTCTCCCGATATGCGGGTCTCCTATGACAGTGATGCATGCTTAAAATTATTATTTTTAACCAATTAAGATAATGATGATAGTAGAGATGCCTACCACTGCATGGGAAAAAGTCTTTGGCAGCGACATGGTTAAGCCTAACTATTTGAACAACTTTCACAGAAGATGAACATTGTTCAGAGGTTTTCTTGGCTCAAACTATGGTTTAACTTAATAATTCTTCCACTTTGTGGTGACTAATGGCTCCCCAGTGCAGGGGCAGGACTGGGCAATCCAGGTGCAACTGTAATTGTTGCACTGAACAGAAACATTTCCTTTAGACAAACGTTCCCAGAGGGGTTATAAATAGGAAATGGACATTACCATGAAAAGTATGCTCCCAAGCTTCTACATATAGTGCAGCCCACGTGGACATTAAACTAGGAAGACTTACACTTTCCCCACCCTTTCCTGTCAAGTGTTACAAACTGACAAAATAAGTACATCAATGTTCTCGGTCGTTATTTTTCTTCAGTGGCACTTTGTTTTCTCGTGACAGTGAAAAGGGGACCGTGGAGACAAGACAGCCCCATTGCAGTTTATCAATGAAAATCTAATATCGTCCGTAACCAGAGAAGTGGAAATCAATACTTCATTACCAAATTGTTAGTGAGGATGAAGAGAAATGGCGGGGGTGGTTTTTTTTTTTGGCAGTCTTCTCAGAGCAGGGTGTCAGGAGGAGTTCAATGTCAGAAGCCGGTGGTGCCACGAAGAAGGACTCAGTGTGAGGGGGATCCAGGCTGGAAAGTTGAAACTAAGGCATTTGTCCTGTAATGGGAATCAGAACAACAGAAAAAGATCCATTATTTTCTGAGGAATAGCTCAGGTGGTTATTTCCCCCACGTAGTCAAATTGCCCACCTATGATGTTTCGTTTGATGTTAATGTTTTGGGTAGAGTCATAGTTAAATCTGGCTAAAGTATGAAATAACCAGTTGATGGGACATAGAAAGGGAGAGCCAGTTTGGGAAAAAAAACTTTAAAATATAATGTGCATAAGAGATATTTGTATGCTCATGTTCATAGCAGCATTATTCACAATAGCCAAAAGGTGGAAGCAACCCAAATGGCCACCAACAGATGAACGGATAAAGAAAACGTGGTTTATACGTAAAATGCAATATTACTAAGCCTTAAAAAGGAAGGAAATTCTGGCACATTCTACAACATGGGTGAACCTTGAGGATATCACGCTAAGTGAAAATAAGCCAGTCATAAAATGACAAATAGTGTATGCTGTCACTTATATGAGGCACCTAGTGTAGCCAAAACCATAGAAACATTGAACAGAACAGTGGCTGCCACGGGCCGGGGTGGTGATGGTGGGATATTGTTGTTTAATGAGCATAACGTTTCCGTTTTGCAAGGTGAAAAAGTTCTGGAGATGGATGGTGGTGCTGGTTGCACAGCAATGTGAATGTACTTAATGCCACTGAACTGTACACTAAAAAATGGTTAAGATCATACATTTTATGTTATGTTGTATTTTACCGCAATTAAAAATAAAAAATACAATGTGTGATTTTTCCACTATAAAGCATTTTGAAAAATAAAAAAAATTAACCTATGGCCCACCATCCAGAGAGAGGTGCTGTTCACAATCTGCTGTATTTCCTTCTAGTGTTTTCTTTTACTATGCATTTTTGTTAGGTTTATAGAATTACAAGCGCCCACCAAATAATGTTCCTCACTGTTTTTTCTCACTTGGAAACATCATTGCAAATAGCTATATGAATTCTATCACCTACATTATCAGAGTTTCCTAAACCATTCTGGTGATGTTGGACATTTAATTTGCTTCCAATATTATTCGATAACATATAACACTGTGATGAACATCTTTATGCGTAAAGGCTTTCAGCATGCTTGGAAATTTTCATAGGCTTAAATTCCGAAATGTGGAATTCTTGAGTCAAAAGATAGGAACATTTTTGTGATGAGGAAGTGCTACTTAAAAGTGTGCTTTGCGGTGAATTTTTTTCAGATATGTGCTATTTGGATTACTGTAGGAATGCATATAATTTCCATGAGCTCAATCTGGGTGGCATTCCTTGTTTACATCTTATTATTTAGTGGTATTGCCCATTTTAGTGAGAGAAAACACCTTGGACTTATATATAATTAATCTTTTGGAAAAGGAAAACTTCCACGTTTCTAGTAGAACAACGAAAACAAGTTGAAAATTGTATGACATTTTATGTGTGTGCAGAAATTATGTGCAAAATAACCATAGCAGACATCATAAATGATTCCTTGGTAAGGATTAGTATGATTGCAATCCTGGCAACCAGTTGTCATATACCCACCAGATGCCAGGGACTCTACACACGTTACCGCTAACCCTGGACACAATCTCATTTTAAACATAAGAGGAAAAGTCTCAAAGAGGTTAGTGACCTGTCCAAGGTCACATACCCAATAAAAAGCAGGGGAGGGCTTTAAATTTAGGCCTTCCTGTCAGAAGCTTCCATGCTCACTTTAGGCACCACCCTGTCTGGATTACAGATGGTCCCATCAGTGGAGGGAGCTATTTCCCTTGGACATTAGGTTTGCATTTCAGAGACAGAGGGTCCTTAGTAGCCATTCCTCTGACTTTGTTGGAACCCCTTGGCAGGTCTAGAAACTCGAAGGATGATAGTCTTGTGGTTGGAAGAAGACAGATGGGTCAAAGAAAGAGAAAGAAAGTAGAGGTCAGAAATTGCAAGGTGTAAGGAGAAGGGGGAGGAGGAGGGAGAGAATGAAAGACGGGAAGAGAAAAGAATGACAAAGCCTTTCTTCCCTAAAGAGTGAACATTATGAGACAGGATGAAGTCCTGGGTGAGGGTGCCGTGGCACAGCCGGTCTCCTTGAGGCCCTCATTTTCTCCTCCCTGCCTGTGGTATTAAGTGATACCGGTTTTAGAGAACCTCGTTTCATTTATCACCTCCTTGAACCTGCTCCAGATTTGATCAACACCCAGACTTCTCTGGCTGGGTTTCTCTCAGGACAAAGTTTGTTCTGGGAAGGGGAGCAAGGAGAAAGAAAATAATAATTTTATTGTATTGTAGTCCCCTTCTTGGAAATTTGCCATTCACATTAGCAAACTCAAGACCGTGAGAAGTCCTGAACTTAAAACCCCACCCAACCAAACGAGACATATCTTTCTTTAACCCAGTGCTTCCCAGATTTTTCATGGACTCTTTTCTTTCGTACAAAACACACAAATATATTCGAGTGTTGTTTTCTGGAAAACTCCTTCATGACAGACTCTTGTGCAAAAACAAAGGAAGTTGTTCAGTTCCTAAGATCTCAGGCCTGACTTCATTAGTGACTTTCTGTGATTCTTTGCTCAGCTTATTTGGCTTTTTTGGGCCTCAGCATGAAACGATCCTGCTTAGTGATAACTTGACATTTTCTTTTTTTCCCTCAGTTTTATTGAGAAATAATTGACATACATCACTGTGTAGGTGTAAGGTGTACAGCATGATGGTTTGATTTACGTATATTGTGAAATAATTACCACAATAGGTTCAGCTAACATCGTTTTCTCATACAGATACGATAAAAAAAAAAAGAAAAAAAAAACAGAAAAGAGAAAAAAAATTCTCTCCTTGTGATGAAGACTCTGAGGGCGAGCTCTGTTGACAACCCTCCCGTGTGTCATATAGCAGTGTTAGCTATAGTCATCATGTTGTACATTGCATGCCTAGCAGTTATTTGCCTTATAATTGGAAGTGTCTACCTTTTGACCATCTTCCTCCAGTTCCCCGTGCCCCAACCCCTGGCCTCGGGTAACTGCAAGTCTCATCTTATTTTCAATGAGTTTGAAGTTTCTTTTTAGATTCTATGTATAAATGAGGTCATACAGTATTTGTCTTTCTCTGTCTGACTTATTTCACTTAGCATAATGCCCTCAAGGGCCATCCATGTTGTTGCAAATGGTAGGAGTTCCTCATTTTTTGTGGCTGAATAATATTCCATTGTATATATATATCGCAACTTCTTTACCCAGTCCATCGATGGATGCTTAGGTTGTTTCCATGTCTTGGCTATTGTGAACAATGCTACGAACATAGAGGTGCAGATGTCTTTTTGAGTTAGTATTTCTGTTTCCTTTGAATATATTCCAACAAGTGGAATTACTGGATCATAGGGCAGTTTTATTTTTAATTTTCGGATGGTTCTCCATACTGTTTTCCATAGTGGTGGTACCAAGTGACAATCCTGCCAACAGTGCACCAGCGTTCCCTTTTCTCCACATCCAAGCCAGCATTTGTTCTTTCTCGTCTTTTTGATAATAGCCATTCTAACAGGCGTGAGGTAATATCTCACTGTGGTTTTGATTTGCATTTCCCTAATGACTAGTGACGCTGAACACCTTGGCTTTTCATATATCTTCTCTGAAGAAATGTCTGTTCAGGTCCTTTGCTCATTTCTGAATTAAGTTATTTGTTTTTTGCTATTGAGTTGTATAAGTTCATTATACATTTTGGATATCCACCCCTTAGCAAATATATGGTTTGCAAATATTTCTTCCCATTCCGTAGGTTGTCTTTTCACTTTGCTGATGGTTTCCTTTGCTGTGCAGAAGCTTTTTAGTTTGATAGAGTCCCACATGTTTATTTTCATTTTGTTGCTTGTGCTTTAGGTAACTTGACATTTCCTGAGTGTTTATTCTCTGCTCTCCATGCTAAGTCTCTGCCTCACCTCATGTCAGCTTCACAAAGCTGCAATGCAGGAGGTAATATTGTCTACACTTTCCAGACTAGGAAATAGAAATCTAGAGAGGGGAAGCCATTTGGCCTGCGGCCATCTGGGAGAAAATGTATTCAGATTCAGGATTTTCTGTTCTCTTAAACCACAGCTTCTTATATTGCCTGTGATGGTTTGGTAATGTCTTAAAGTGTTAAACACTATCATTATTGATAACTTAGAGGCGTTTGCTCAAGAGCATCTGTACAGTTATTCAGTTAAATTCCAGATATAAGTGTCTGCTATGAAAACCTGACTGCGCAGCTATTTCCATCTGAGAGATCTCTTCATATCCCACCATGAGTGATGGAAGTGGTGGATTCTTCTGGAAGGTCAGTGTTCCTATAGTAGAAGAGAATGGTAAAGAGGAGACCCTGAATCTTGGGCCACTTTGGGACAATATACCCTTTATTATTATTCTTATCTTAAAAGAAGAAGAAAAACCTTATTTTTCTCTAGGTCTAAAGATGACACCCTGGCAGAAAGTTAAAACTAGATAATGAAGGTAAGGAGAGTGAGAACTGGTGACGTTATTTCTCACTGTTCAGAACAAATTGTGTAGAGTGGATTCAGAAAAAAAGAAAGCAAATACTCTAGGTTGCCTCTCAAATGGTCGTTGAGGCCAAGCTTTGCTGCTGCGTGGGTGTTTTTTCCTAATATGTTAAGCTACTACTATAAAAATAAAACGGAAATAAATAAAAATTTTAATTACATATCTAAAAAGTCATTGGCGGTGTTCATTAAGTAGAGTTTGTGAGGGAGAGCCAGGCGAAAAGATGTAATTATTTTTGTATTAATTACAGAGCCACCAACAGATGCATAGAATTATATATACTTTAATTTGGCCGTGCTAGAATTTTTAATCCCTCTGGCAAATCATTTTGGTTGCTTCTTCCTCTTCTCCCTGTCCTTGCTCAGTCCTGCCTGCCCTCTTCTTTCTCTAGTCTGCACGGTTCTTCTCAGAGCTGCTCTGTTGTCCCCAGGGGGTGTGTGGTGATTGCTACAATGACGGGGACACCACTAACGTTTCACGGTTAG